CACTTACCTACATGCAGGCAATACGTGCATACACATAAAAATATAAAAATAATAAATAAAAATATTTATTAAATAAATAAATACAAGGTTTATGTGGTGCTTAAGATCAAACCCAGGGCTTTGTGCCTGATAGGTAAGCACTCTATCAAAGAGCTACATCTTCACCAGTGGTGGGCCTTGAGGCCCTGGCTGAAATACATTTCTTCCTGGCCAGTTAGGACTGTCATAACTCTTGGAATTTTCTGTATTAGGAAATGCAACAGCTCCCAGAATCTGAAGTTGTTAAGGATGGAACCCTAGAACTGCTGGCCATGTTTATAAACCATCTAGAAAGTAAAACTAAAATTAAAAGATGGAGAGAGTCTTGATTGTCTCTAAGATTTTGGGTCTAGTCAACACTGGATCCTTTCTTTCTCATGTTTCAGCTAAGTAAGGCAGTAAGTTCCTTTTTTTGTTTATACTAGTTTTACATTTTATCACTTGGAACCCCCCAAAAGTCTTGAGATCAAAAAACAAAACCAAAAAGCCCCTGAAAGTCATACACAGTGGCGCATGAACGTCATCCCAGCACTTGGCAGGTAGAAGCAGGAAGATCAGAAGTTCAAGTCATACTCAGCTACATAGTAAGTTTAAGGCTAGCCTGGGCTACATGAGACACTCTCAAAATCCTCTCCTCTATCTTGTCCCCACTCCCCCCCTCACACACACACAAAACTAAGTCTGGAGAGATGGCTCATTGGTTAAGAGTGTGTACTGCTCTTGAAGAAGACCCAAGTTAGGTTCCCAGCAACCATGTTGGTTCCTTACAACCTTGTGTAACTCCAGCTCAAGGATATGACATTCTCTTCTGGCCTCCTCAGACACATGCACTCACCCACACACAGACACGAACATACAAATGTAATTAGAACAACAACAAAAAACCACTAATGGTGAGCAGGCTCCCTGGTGCTATGGTGGTGTTTCACTAAATTTTCCCCTTCCGGCTGGAAGACCCACCCTCACTCAGACTCTACGGTCCTGACTCGGATGGACAAAACCAACATAATACATTCTATTTGGGTTTTGCATAGTAGATCTGGGAAAGAGGGTGACTTACAAAGACAGTTCCAAAAACGGCAACTACCCCATTCACGGCTGTGCTGGAAAATCCACACCCAAACAAATCCTGTGGCTTCCCAGCAGCCACACAAAATGGCAAGAGGGCAGCCTCCTGGTTTTCCCAGCTTATACATCCACAGCCCCTCCCCTTAATGGGCTTGTGTCCTTCGGCAGAGCATGGGAAGGAGGTGGGACTATTGCTTGTCATCATAAGGTTAGAGGAACTTCCAGGTCACAGTGTGATTGAGTGGGGTGCTGCTGGAGTCATGTGGTCCTTGGGAACCCCCGAGTAGCCACACCACTGCTGCCTTCTGTCCTCAACATGTTTCTCACTAGGTTGGTTGGAGTACGACAGGGGTGTGAATACTTTTCTCTGAAAGGAATAGTATGCCATTGAGGCTATCAAGTTTGGTTCTACAGTCATTGGCATCCAGACATCAGGTGTATGCCTAGCAGTGGAGAAGAGAATTACCTCCCCACTTATGGAGCCCAGCAGCACTGGGAAAATGGTAGAGATCGATGCTCATATAGGTTGTGCCATAAGTGAGCTAATTGCTGATGCTGACTTTAATTGATAAAGTCTGAGTGAAGACACAGAACCACTGGTTCACCTATAATGAGACAATGACGGTGTAGTGTGTGACCCAGGCTGTGTCCAATCTGGCTCTGCAGTTTGGAGAAGATGCAGATCCAGGTGCCATGACTCATCCCTTTGTTTGGAGGAGTCGATGAGAAAGGACCCCAGCTGTTACATATGGACCTGTGTGGGACCTTTGTACGGTGTGGTGCTTGAGCAATTGGCTCTGCTTCAGAGGGTGTCCAAAGCTCCTTGCAGGAAGTTTACCACAAGCTCACCACAGTGCAACCTGTTCACTAAGAACTGGAAGTGGTGATTAAGGACATTTAAGGACGTGCCATCCTCAGAACTTCTCGGGACAAGTTCAATTCTCCTAATTGCCCTTAAACTTCATTTCCAGCTCTTAGTTCTTAGAAAATATCCAACATATGGGGTTTTTTGTTGTTATTGTTGTTGTTGTTTATGATGTCTGTATATAACAATTCTGAAATTAAAGCCAATTTAAAATTAAATTTTTTTTAAAAAAAACCACTAACAAGTCCTTGGGTCTGGGTCATCAGCAGCATAGTAAGAAACTTAAAATGAAGATATTTGTGTCAGTGTACAAATAATGCCCCTCTGTACAAGGTAAATATAGAATGGCACCCAGTGTAATTCTTTCAGCACCAGTTACTTCCTGCCCCCTTTTCAGAATGGGGCAGGTCCTCACTACTGCCATCCTTTTAAAAAAATTATGACATTTATCTGGTGTGTGGTATGTTAAGGCACGTGCAGATATCAGAGGATAACTTGCATAAATTGGTTCTCATCTTCCACCATGTGGGTCCTGGGAATTCAGCTCAAGTTTCCAGGCTTGGTGGCAAGTTCCTTTATTGAGCCATCTTGCCAGCTCTCCATATCATTTTTTAACTTAAACTGAGGTGGCTTTTCAATTGCTTTTAAAATAAAATGATCAAGGGGCTGGAGAGATGGCTCAGGGTCATTGTTGCTCTTGCAGAGGACCTGGTTTGGTTCCCAGCACTTATTTGGCAGCTCACAACCACCTGGAAATCCAGTTCCAGAGGATGCAACACCCTTTTCTACCCTGAGGGCCTTTACATAGATGTAGGCAAAACACTCACAAGACACATAAAAATAAAGTAGCTAGGTGTGGTGGCACACACCTTTAATCTCAGCACTCAGGAGGCAGAGGCAGGAGGATCTCTACGAGTTCAAGGCCAGCCTGGTCTCCATAGCAAATCCAGGGCAGCTGGGGCTACAGGGAGACCCTGTCTCAAATAAATAAATAAATAAATAAATAAATAAATAAATAAAATTTTTAAAAAGAAAATGATCAACCCGACTATGCATTTAAATCTGTCAACTCAGGTGTAGTATAAAAATCAGATACAAAAAGGTTTTTGGCAAGATTAGCCTGGCATGGTGGTACAAGC